AATCTTTACTTCTGTATTAAAGGTAGTTTAAAGCACTAAGATACTCTTGTGCAGTAACTGAAATAAATTCAGACATAACTTCAAAAGAATGGAAGGAGATTCTATTCTTCTAACAATTGCCCTGACTTACTTTTCTTTCTTGAGATTATATCTTATAATATTTTTTACAATTTGCAAAGATAAGTTTACAAATACATTGGTGTAATGTGTCTTTTAGCATTCTCCATCTTACAATACATTTTATCTGTGTTATTGAAACATAATTTGATGTAATATTTTACTTCATTTACAAACAAGACAGGGATGGGAACAGAAATTTGCACAAGCTTTGCGTTTGCTTTACTTTCCAATTCCCATGTGTTCTTCTGTAATCTTCTGCTACCACACTAAAGCTGGCAGCCTGCTGATAATTGCTCTGCAAAGACTGACACTTGGAGGATAGCCAGTCTTTTGCCTTTAACAGCAAAACAACACCTCAAACTCCTTTGATTTCTAGGAGAAGAAAAAAAAGTATGAAGAGGAAATGAACAGCAAACCTACAACCATTGCTGATTAAACTATTTCTAATTAGGAGAGAATTTACCTGCTAAACATGAGTCTGAACCAAAACTGTGATCAAAGCTCTGAGAACTTTCAGTTCTGTTTCTTTCCCAGCTCTGTAGTTTTATCTGTCATGGGCCAAACAAAAACCTTGGATCCAAATCTCCCTCATCTTTTAGAAAGTTCAGAGGTAGTTCCAAAACTAGTACATCACAGGGCCACCTGTATGACCTGACTGGGTCGAGAATTTTATAGGGTTTTTTGAAAAAAAACTCAGGAAGTTGAATAAGGACAAGAGAAATTTTCTCTGTCCATTCAATGCAGCAATTCTACTGCCACACAACCAAGAATAGTTCAGCTTTGTATTTGAGTGAACATCATCACCTTTCCTTTGCCAATATTGATATTACAAATTCAAAAAATTGTTTTTTCTGAAAACCATTTAAAATTCACTGGTCTACTAGAGAAGAAACATTCATTAGTTAGGAGCAGAAATTAAACACTCAGAGGGGAAAAACAGAGTTAAAGTGAATTCATTGAAAAATTAATACGAATATTCATGGCATCATTTTGCCACAGTTTTCATTCTCTTCTAATAGCAGTGCTATTTCTCTGAAGAAGCAATTTAATTCAGTAGACACATGTTTACATGTACAAAGGATCTCAGTTAAATGTTACATCAACTCTCCATTGTTCTCTCCCAGGAAACTGATTCAATGCTGTCTGTTTCATGGTGGGTTTGCCTGGAAAACTCACAACTGAGCATACCTTGCGAATCTCAGATTTCTTATGGCACAGTACACCATTCTCATGCTGCTAAGTCCCAGGGTGTCCTGGTCTTACTGGGATTTAATTGTAGAATTCCCTTTTAATGTTTCAGCAGATGTGGATTTTTGAGAAAACTGCAGTGCTTGCTTTAATGAACACAAGTTGATATTATAGCTTTAGCTGGGACAGAGTTTTACTTTGGGTTTTTGCTGGGACTGGTATCATAACGCACCAATATTTAATTTTTTTCAAGTTCTGTTTTTCAGTCTTTTGCCAACACCTATGGTTATAGTTGCTTCTGTTTTGTTTGTTTTTTTTTTCTTCTTTCTGCACAAGAGAAAAGTAGGGGAGGAAAAAGCCTGGAATTCTATGGGACAGGTGACCCAGGACAGATGATCCAGGTGCAATCCAAGCTGACCAATAAGGATGTATTCTATCCCGTAAATGTCACACTCACTATAAACTGGGGAGTTTGCAGGGGACAACCTCTTCAACTCCTTTGGTCCCTTCTATTCCTTTCCTTCTCCTTCATGATGGTGGCCTGTCTCACTTCCTGAGGCTTGCCCCTCCCTTGTTGTGTTTTCATTAGCATACGGCCAGTCACTGCTGTTTGTAGCTGAGTAGAACTTTGATTGCTTTATTTTTGTGGTTTCGATTCTTGTTGCACTTCACTGGTATTATTATTATTTCAATTTGGTTTATTTTAATTATTAAATAGTCTTTAGCTCAACTGACATGTTCTTTTCCTTTCCTGATTCTCTTCCCCATGCTGCCAGGGAGTGGGGAGGGGAGTTGAGCAACCGTACTGCACGGTGTTTAATTACTTGCCAATTTAAACCACAACACAAGGGTTTTGCAAACAAAGGACGACTTAGGCACTACAACTGAGTTCAGACCATTTTTTGTAAAAAGAAGAGAAAAGCCTGTCTGATTTCATTCACAACATCAGATTATGACACTAGCCCATTTGTTATTATAAAACCTTTTATTTCCTAAATACAAATATCAATTTGTTACTGTTCCCCACTGGCAGAAATGCACTAAACAAGAGTCTAGATACTTGAGTCATAAATATTTAGGTGGCATGTAAAAGAGGAGGTGAGGAACACTGAAGTTTAAGGAGTGGAGTTCTGACAGAGAAAGGTAAAACTCTCTCATTACTGCAGTTATCAACCACTGCCCACAGCCAGGAGCTAACCTCCCTGGATAGGCATGGACAAACTAGTACCCAAGTTAGAGGAGGACTTTCAAATTCAGACGGACTCACAGAGTATACATTCTTCAAGCATAAAGACTTAATACCCATCCTGCTTACAGTTCAGAAGACTTCCATTAAGTGTGAAAACCATTATGACTTGAGATGTCAAGAGGCTCAAACTGCATGTCTCAGAAAAATAGCCTAAAAGTGAATTATAACTAGTAAGAATTAATGATCTACAAGGAATTATGATCTGGATAAACAGAGTACAATATCTCAGTATTCATACACTGTAAAATCAAGCCATACTCCCCTTAGCTAATACTCTGTGCCTATTTGTCTAATCTAATATGTGTTGTATGAGCTTCATCTTTCCTCAGATATGTTAAAATAATTACTTTACAAGTAAAAGGAACAGTGGGTCTCCACCCAATTAAAGTACACTATCATTTCAATGGCATTTGAGAAAAGGGGGAAAAGTGTCACAGAGGTCCTGAAGGAAGAAATTCCTATTAGGAATTCAAAATGTGTGGTCTGCTCTGACTTTTCTTCCTTAGAAATGCTGTTAGAAGGAGATCTGAGACGATTTTCAGAAGAGCACTATCCAGGTGATTTTCAAAATAACTGTCCAAGATATTCCAGTATATGATGGAGTGTTTAAAAAAATCTGTTTTTAACCTCATACTCAACAACACATAATCAATAGGCCAGATTCATTGTTATACTGTATGGATATGGAACACAAGAAAATAGCAACTTTGTGACATGTCTACATTTTCAACATCTAGGCAGCCTGGGCAATGATAAGTGCCCCAAACAAGCAACCGTTCTAATTGACTGCAACACTGCAAATAAAACCATAAGCTGATTTGTGGACACAGCTCATTTGCTGCTGAAGTCTCCAGTGAGAGCCCTTATATTGAGACCTATGGGAAGAATGTGGTAAAGCCACTTGCTTTGATCTTGAAAAATCCCTGTCCTGTGAATTACACCTATGTGAGACTTAAATTCACAGCACTCAGAAAGAGAACTAGTACAGCCCAGAAGCAAGCCCAGTTCTCAAAATGAAATCTGTAAGTCATACCAGCAACCTACTCAGATTTAGCTAGCAGCTCTCTAGAGGATATATTACTGCTTCATTGATGAGAGGAAAGGGGAAACATAATAGAAATACTTATCAGCCAAAAGCAAGGAAGATAGAGGATTCAAAAGCCAGTTCCCAAATGGACACTTCACAGGGCCATGCTGTTTGCTGCTGCCAACGGTAAGTGGCCAGCCAACAGCAAGCCAAGCTGGTTATGTGACTGTAAAACTACACAGGCAATCCCAGCTCTGGCTTCTTCTAGTGTCTGAGTGCTTTATCTTCCAAACTTCAATCACAGACGTATTTGTGTGCAAAACACATTACAAAAACTAAACCACAGTTGATACCACAGCTACATAACATACAGACTTCTCTGAGAAAAATGTAACACATCCACAGATCTTTTCACATGCAAATTGCCAGTCTGTGCACCTTTGGTTCTGCAGTCTGTAAATTAATTTTATATAAGTGCACTTTTTTGTGAGAGAGTAATAGGGG